TAGAGAAGCCTTGTTATCCTCTAACAGAAGTGAAGAATCAAGCTATATGTCTGATACCTCCAGGAATATGCACAAAACACCTGATCTTAATCATGCTGCCAATTCATCACCTCACTTAGCAGCACTGAAACACTGAGCCCTGACCTCTGACCTCTCACAGGCCACCAGGACAAGCTCGGTGTGGCCGAGACCAAGCTGCTCCACACGCTGCACTGGATGCTGCTGGAGGCGGCGCAGGAGTGCAACCACGAGCCGAGCCTGGGCCACAGCTGGTCCGGGGGCAGCAGCAGCAGCGCCTTCCTCCAGCCGGTGGGGAACCAGGGCTCATCGCCCGGGGCTCCCGGGTCCTGCTCCGGCTCGGCCCTGGGGGGGTCGGGGCCCCAACACAGCGGCTCCCTGCTGGAGGAGGATGAGCACACTCGTACAAAGCTGTTCCACAAGAGCATGGCCACCGTGGAGCTGTTCGTGTTCCTGTTCGCTCCGCTCATTCATCGGATAAAGGTCTGATGATTTCAGATTTCTTGTTGCAGCTTTATTTTAAAACACATTAATATCTTGACTGACGTTTATTGGAGAAGCTCATATTGAACCATTCAACACACACTCAGGGTCACCCTAGTACTATTGATCTGTGTACACACAGACACAGGAGTCGTCTTGCAGTACTCTGGGGATTCCTAACTGAACAATGTATGTTGTAAACGATCACGCCATGATTACGTGATGATATCGAAACATTTCAAATCACGTGTTTTTAATAATAAAATCATACCTGAGCTGGGAGGTGGTAGAAGAAAAGGGCTCCATGTACAAAACGGCTTCTTCTATAACTGAGATTATGAATATGTCCCTTTTTTACAGGAGTCGGACCTGACCTTCCGATTGGCCAGTGGCCTGGTAATTTGGCAGCCGATGTGGGAGCACCGCCAGCCTGACATCTCGGCCTTTACTGCGCTCATCAAACCTGTGAGAAACATCGTGACAGGTGAAGAAAAACAGAAAGCCCTCCCTTACAGCCTTTAAAACCCCTTTAGAAGTCAATCTGTTTTTATTTCCTCATAATGAAGACGTGTAATCTGTTGTCCACAGCTAAGAGGAACTCCCCTGTCAACAACCAGTGCAGCCCCTGTGGATCTGGAAACCCTGGTCCCATGGTGAGTGAGCGCTGGGATCAGATCCTTGTCAGATTTTGCTTCATGTGTTGATTGAATGTGTTCAGGCGAGAGTCTGAGGCGTCTTCCCCTCCCCCTTTCAGCGTTCCCTCTGGGGGCCGGCTGCTAATATTCATTAGCACCAGCCGACCGGGAGCATTAGTGTGGTTAGCCAGGGTCATGACACAAACCTCAGCGCAGCCCCAGAGTCTTTAATGATCAGGGACGGTATGTCTGTGCCTCTTTCCGCTTGTTTATCGGCTGTTGATCTACAGTATCTGTCCATCTCTCCTGCCCACAGGGCTTCCAGGTGGTTTGCGAAACCACCCAATCAGATTCCTCCTCCCCCTCGGCTGGAGAGCAAAGCTGTCGTCGTGGTAACTCGGTGGAGAAAGGTGGCCCTTCCCAGCAACCCCAGCCGGTCAAAGGCCCTTCCAAGAAAAAGTGAGCACTGTTATTGAATTAACCCTCAAGAGGAAGAGGTGTGTGTGTGTTGTTGCGTGTTATGTCGAAGGGTCACGGTGGTTGTGTTGTCATAGTGTTTTAATGTGACAGCCCAATGACACAGAGACTCTTCATCCATGTTTCTCTTTTTGTCAGAACGTCTATGGTTCATTTTAGCATCAAAAATGAAAATCTCTGAATCGGTTTAATACACATTTTCATATATAAATTATTTAAACTCTAGATTTAGTGTTGAAGCAGTGACAGTTGTGAATCAAGCATATCGAAATATCTCAAATCTATTAATATTTCCAAATAAAAGTACACAGCAGCACATTTTTCTTGGAAGCTGCTTTCGTGTGAAATCATAAATAAATCCTGATCTTCACATGATCAAAAAAGGAGGGATTTCCACTCTGGAATCCAGCGGTGAGCTGAAACCATGCATAAAGTGATTTATCAGTGACCCGCTTTGACACAGACCTGGTGACATCATCTTGTGGACGGCTAAACATTTAGCCTCGCGGCACCGTCTGTCGAGCACACCGCTTGCTCCACTCGCTTGCGAGCAGCGTGGCGTACTTGAATAACTCCTCCCCTGTGCAATGTGTTGCTCTAAGCTGCGCTGTCTCCTCAAGTCAAACACACACGACACATTCAGAGCCTCATCTTGCTTCAGCATCAACAGACCCATCTGACATTTGCCCACAGAAGCAGGGTAATTATGCGGAAGTAATGTGCTACATGTCTGATGCTGGCACTGTCCCTGGTCTGGCATGACACGGCCTGGCTTGATTTTCACTGTGCCCACGGCAAAGTCTGGCTTTGGCCACAAATGAGGCAGATTTGACCAGCGAGGTTGCCGGCAAATGACACGACAAAGTCACAGGAAGACTAGAGCGCAGACCTCCACCAAGGCCCTACAGTTTCCCTCAATTCAATCAAGCTGCACCAAATTACTCACTGCTGACAAACGGACAGGGTGCAAAACATAAAGTCTGTGGCGTAAGTTGAAAAGATCATAGTTTAAAGGTCATCCCCTGTGTGTTTTTAATCCACAACGCACCATGAATATGCTGCTCTGTGTTTCCAGAAAAATACCAAACCTGCTCTGCGGAGAATCCCCACATTAACAGCTCATTACATTTGCATTCAGCACATCCTACATGTGCGTTCGCTGACTGTAAGTTCATAACACCAGGTTTGTCACCGTCCTGAATCAGCCAGCCGGTGGGCTCAGAGGACGAGAGCGATGTGGGAGAAGGCGTAGAGAGGAGAAAAAGCCGCGTTTAGCTCAGCTGACAAGTCACGTTCCGACGCCTCTCACAATCCCTCCGACAGGCAGCAAGTGGCTGCAAATCAAAATAAGCCTGTGCCCTCCTCCCCCTGCGCTGGTAATATCCTCACACACTCAAACATCAGAGGGTTTGTGAGCAGTCACATGCTAATGCAGGAAGGAGGAGAATTCCGTCCGTTGTTTCGCTGCACACGCCCAACAAAGACCGATTCTTTGCTTTCTTCATGTGTCACTCGTGGGAATTTTAAGCCGTGCATCAAATGAGAGCAGGGGAAGAGAGGAGTGAGATAACTGGGGGTTTGATATCTACAGAACAGGATTCACGATGTACAGATCCAGAAGGAGGTGGGGCTGCACACCAGCAGTGTTCATGTCAGTGATCAGATCAAAATGTCTAAAATCTTTTGATTGCTCTTTATTGCTCTCATTGCTCTGAGCCCTCGTCCGTGTTTATGATTCTTTCTGCTGGTATACACACCCCTCCTGTGCTGCACCGCCCAGATATTTCCACCATTAGCTCCTGTGATTAATGCAGCTTACTCATCCCATGGCGCAGCATCGCGCGCCACTCACAGCACTGCTGATGCTGAGGCAGTTGCCATGGTAACGGCCAACTGGCTGGCTGGCTGGCTGGCTGGCTGGCTGCTGCTGCATCTCTTGCTACCGCATGGAGCTGGAGGCTGGGCCGCTGCCTCTCTGAGGGCCCCTGGGTGGCTGTCGTCACTAGGTCTCCATGGCAACCTGACACAACAGCAGTAGGCAGAGTGTGTGTGTGTGTGTGTGTGTGTGTGT